CCCCCCCCCCCCCCCCCCCCCCCGGGGTTGAAAGCTGCTGTGTATGTATGTATTGCTGTAGCCTCATCTCGGGTTTAAGTTTATGACAGAGGAAGATTGGGGGGAGTAGAGATAGCAACCCCTGGAGCAGGTCCTAGGGTGAAAGGAGGAGACAGCAGAGGGGGAAGAGAAAAAAAATTCTCTTCTCTCTCCTCGCGATCGTCTCCTCCCCCACTCCCTTTGAGTCGACCCTACACCTTCCCTTTTTTGGGGATTCAATATGACGGTTTCAAAATGGCGGATATGTTGACCTGGTTTAGTCACAAACCTTCCTGTGGCCTATTTTCTTGTATCCTAGCGCTTGGAGACAAAGGAGATTGACCATTAACCGCCTGGAATCAAATTTGACCTGTAACCAACAGTATACACCACCCTTACCCCGAAACAGGAAATAGCAGAGTACCATACTTCCAGAGTGGTTTTTTCTCATATGCCTTTACTATTGGCCCATAAGCTAGGCTCATTATGCAATCCATATTATACAAGAGATCATTCTCTTGTACAAGAGATCATTCTAGATCATTCTCTCTTGTATTATATCATTGATTACGAGACTTCAATACCGGTACGCTGTTTTCCGCCCTTCGACATGGATATCAAAACCTTACTCGATAATCTTCATGAAGAAGTACCTTGTTCTGTATGTAAGTGCAAGTTTGCGAATCCAAAGCAGTTGCCTTGCTTGCGCTCGTGATCTGTTCAACGATCAAGAAGCTTCTGAGACTCACGCTATCATAAGCAAAATTCTCAGAAATCAAGATATTTTTGCAGTCATTCCCCAGGGAGACATCGTCAAAACATGTCAAAATACCATTCTGTAATTGGCTAATTTTTCGTAAGCTCATTAAAATTTCATGCAAAAAGACCATTTCTGAGACTTTCTTTCTTTGCCTGCTTCTTTGCATGTGTCTTTGCTTTCTGCCCTTGGACATGGATATCAAAACCTTGTTAGATAATCTTCATGACGAAGTTTCTTGTTCTGTGTGTATGTGCAAGTTCACAGATCCAAAACAATTGCCTTGCTTGCACAGCTTTTGCCTACACTGCCTGAACGGGATTCAACGAACGACGAACCCAAATGTGATTGCGTGCCCTGAATGCCGACAGGAATTCAGAGTCCCTGAGAATGGAAACCTACAAGCTTTGCCTACAAACTTTCGTATCAACAGTCTGCTCAATGTGTTAACTATAAAGGAGCGCAATACAACCGCTATTAAGTGTGGAAATTGCGACAAAAAGAGCCAACACAGTTTTTATTGTTTTCAGTGTTGTGGATTTTGGTGTGATGATTGCATCAGTTTGCATGATGGCATCAAAGTTTATAAAGAACACCATGCGCTGTCACTAAAAAACTTTCAAGATCAGGACTTTGAGAACATTTTAAGGCGACCAGCATTTTGTGGAAAGCCAGGCCATGAAAATAAGGAATTGGAGTTCTTTTGCAAGAGCTGTGAAGCTGCCATTTGTTATTCATGTATCGCAACACTTCATGAAGGTCACCCCAAGATACTTCTAGATGAAGCTGCAAATGAACGCAAGTTACATGTTAAGGCTGCCATTGAATCTAAGAGACAAATTACTCT